GAAACGTCAGGAAGAAATTCCGATAGACCACGGCTTCAAAGCCCGGAAAACATTCCTAAATGTAATCTGACCGGCCGTGAAAGCCTTCATAGTCTGATAAGATGTTACTTGATTTACCTGCTACTTTTAAATGGTATCAAGTTTTTTATTTTCTCTATTACGATATTCGTAACTTCTTTCGATAATCTAAATCTAAATTTAAAATCGCGATCGTTTCATTGCAGGAAATGATTTGGTCGCTCCCTATACGTTGGTGATCTTTTATTTAAAAATGTTCCTAGGAGCTCCAGAACGTCTTCACCGTCTGTTACCCAACAGGTCCATTTTCACAAAAAAAATATTTTTAATATTTATAAACACCTATGTTATGTAAACATAAAATTAACACCGTGAACACCTTTAGGTTATAATATGAGTCTCGGCACTGAACACGATTGAACGGCCGATTTCAGTCGTTCAGCTGAACTGGGATTTGATCTGCCGTTCAGGCTTGAACGCGACTGAGACAACCGAAAATTTTCGTTGAACCACGTTCACCCGCTGAACGGTCAGTGAACTTGGATTGTCCAACCGGCCCATAGTTTTTTGCAAATTTCTCTGTTTTTAATAACAATTAAATTTTTTGAGAATTTTTTTTGTAGTCCTAAAACACCCCCAGACAATACTTTCAGAGGAATAAATCCCGTGTCCCATGCATCCGTTTGTACGATGATACGATGGTACGAAAGTGTTTCTATTGGTTGGAGATCTTTCAATTGGTACCACGACGGGCGAATTGACAGATCTCCAACCATTAGAAACACTTTCGTACCATCGTATCATCGTACAAACGGATGCATGGAACACGGGCTTAACGCCGATTTTGAATCACCCTGTATACACAACAACGGTTCTCAGACTACACACTATTATATTCAGACGACGGGCGTAATGGAACTCGCGGGCGACTGTGTGCGTGTGAGAGAGAATTGAGTACTCATCTTTACATGTATATGCCAGACCTAACGACTCCGTAACGCATTCCATTCAACTCGCACTGTGCCATTAGTTATCACTTCAAAAACCAGAAAAATACTCTAATGCGATTTCTCAATCAATGGACGAACGTCCTGAACTTGGAATATACAATACCTAAAGTTAATGTTTAAATTTAAGCTTACCATCCACTGGACAATATTTCCCTACCAATAAACAGATTCAGACCATCGCTACTACCGTCCGTGGCGTGGAATCCATGGACTGACATCAGAAAAAGGGACGACATCCGAAAATTAAACGCCTCTTTCCCTTACGGGCCATTAAACGACGACATACTGAGGCTAATAATCCAGGCCTATTATTCCTCGGTCAGCTACGTGGATGACCTCATAGGCAAAGTGCTTCGGGAAATCAACTTTAAGAATACGATTGTTGTTCTAACTGGAGATCATGGCTGGTCTCTAGGGCAACATGGCGAGTTTTCAAAGTATAGTAACTTTGAACAAGTTACGCAAGTCCCGTTGATCATACACGTACCCCACCTGTCTAGCCACCAAGTAGCTGTTAAATCGTTGGTGGAATTAGTGGACATATTTCCCACTTTGGTGGACTTGACCCAGGTTGGATCTGCTTTACAACGATGTCCTGAAACGAAGCAACTTACAACTTGCACCGAAGGTGAAAGCTTGGTGCCAGTAATGATCGAAGCTCTAGAAAAGCAGGTATTTAAATTCGTTTGATTGAAATAAGCAAACTTTCAAGAATAAATGCGCGCACCCATGACTACCATTATGTAACATCAAAAAATAATTATTTTAAAAATTGAGATATTTGCAAAAATTGTATCCGAAATTTATTTTGCTCTCAATTACCATTGAACTACAATGATGGACAAAATTAGCGCAGCACCTATACATTTTCGAATAAATCATTCACAAACTTGTGTGTGTAACTAAACTGTATTCGCATTGAAATGTCCACAAGAAGAAATTTAAGTGAGTTTGATGCGGTTAAAATTGTCACCTTGTTGGGAGAAGGGTATTCCCAACGTGAGGTCGCCCGAAGGTTGGGTGTTCATCACACCACCTTGCCTTCAGCGTTTTAGGAAAACAAGCTGTCATGCTAGACGAGCAGGGCAAGGCCGACCAAGATCCACAAACCAAGTGGACGATCGTTGTAACAAATTTTTGACATCTTACAGAAATTTAAGAAACTCGAAATTACATACATTATAGGCGACTTCAATGCAAAGGTTGGAGAAGGTCCAAGAGGAGAAGTGGTGGGTCCATATGGTCTTGGAAACCCCAATAAACGAGAACGACAGTTCGAGTTCTGCGAAGTCAACGAAATGATAATTACAAACACCTGGTATAAACTACCCAAGAAACGTTTATACACTTGGAAAGCCTCCTTTGATGATGGCAATAACCCTGACACTTCAAGAAATCAAATAGATTATATACTCGTGCACAGACGTTTTAGGAATGCTATCAAAACAGTCACTACATATCCAGGAGCAGATATTGGGTCAGACCACCAACCTCTTGTTGCTGATATTAAACTACAGAAATTTGCATTATTCCATTGGACTCATGTGTTAAGACTTTTTAAATTACTTTTGAACTGGAACTTTCTAAATATGTTCTATTGTTCTCACTAAACTGTAATAAAATAAATACATCATAAAATAAACGTACAAATATTATCAATAATACTTAGGCAATAAAAATATTAGTAAACAATCAACAATAACATTATTTATAGGTAGTACCATTCATAGGTTTTACCATTCATCTTAATATTTTAGAAAGTTAGAGGTAAATCTTGTGTTTTCACCCAATATCCAAGACCGGGTGTGTTTCCCACGTGGCACCCTAATAGTGACAAACCCCGATTAAACGAAATAAAAGCAATGGGGTATTCTATCAAAACAAAGCGGTACAGATACTGTGAATGGATGGAATTCAACTCCGCCAATTTTACTGCAAATTGGAGTAAGGTACGTACACCAAGATTATCTATTTGAGTCATCTAATATTGCACCATTACTAGGTTTATGCAACAGAATTATATGATCATCTGATAGACCCCGAAGAAAACATGAACTTAGGCGATAAAACCGACCTTGAGTTCATCATAAAAAGGCTTTCACGCAAGTTAAAACGAGGTTGGAGACACGCTTAACCGCAATGTAAATAATGTAATAGAAACTAATAATTCAAAGTTTGAAGTAAAAAAAGACCAGCATTTGATTACCATATTTGTTTTATTCCGGTACAAAATTTCTATTACAAAATAATGTGTCTAAACGTACATCTCTCTCTTACATTTATATGCCCGTATTACATTTATATTGCAACATAAAAGGCATTTTTTTACAACGAAACACAATAGGAAACTCCAACCAACTGAACTATCAGTTGAAAGTCCTAAAAGACCAATAGTGCAAAGAATCGACACAATATTATTGCAAAAATCAGTCTAAAAAAAACACCTATGGTGACATTTTACAGGCAAAATGTATACGGACTTCGTCGAATATTTTATACTCACATATTGCAACTGAAACACTAAAAACGCATTTTGCCATTCAAAAAACTAAACAATTGACTATAATGAAAACATATACATTTCCTATATTTGTAACACTAACTAAAATTATTGAGAACAGGTAGCTTAATAAAAATAACAAGAAATATCCAAATGGAGTAGCTTTGGAATATCCACGTATACGGAATGAAGCAAAGATAGGATTTCAGAACCAGTCTGAAACATTCTATAAAATAAGATTAATTTTTGCTACTTTCTGTTTCGTCTTAAATAATACTCATCTTAATCTCAAATGGTCACAGTCAACTATTTGGGTTATTTAAGTTAACATTGATTGTTTTTTCCTTTTGGTATTGTCCCAATTTTTCAAAATTTGATTCGATTTTCCAGAATATGTTCATAGATGATTCGTATCCATGACATTATTGCCATAAATATTCGTTGACTAAATAATTTTAATTCAAATACGTTTTCTAGAATATATGAACAAGACATTAAAATGACTTTATTAAAAATAAACCGAATTAAAGAAATTTGGAATGTACCCTACCGAATGGGTACGAAAAAATAATTATTTAATAAATTAAATCCAATACACACAATAACGAAAAGGACAGATCAGAAATTTTGTAGAAAACAGCTACTCGAAAAATTGTTTCCAATTAAACAAACAGCAGAAATGACCAAATATTCATGAATTTGCTAAAGCTCGATTTAAAATTCCAGTGATATTAAAAAGTAGTTTCAGTTTTAAAAAATTATCAATTTTCTTCTAGAAACTTGAAACATAATTAAAATCAAATACCGCTAGAGCAAGCTAGTTTTCGCCATTCATAAGCTGTAGGCTCATTGAAGAACGCCTGCGAATGTTTAAAGGCAACAAAAAGAAATCGTTGCTCAATATGCTCGCCATAGATGATTCATTTTGGTAAGTTTCTGGATTCAAAGCGATCCAGTTAACATTCACAAACAATAATCTGCTATAAGAAATAGGTCTATCAAACATAAACAAGATCGGTGATAGAAAATATTCAAACGCCGCTCTACACTCGCGTCACAAAAATTGTGATCATTAGAGCCTTTTCACACCGGCCACTGCAGCGCTTCTGATAAGCGCATGCAAACATTGTACCAGCCACTACAGCGCTTCTCGGTGGCACTGCTGAGAAGCTCACGTTAACCTGAAGCAGACTGAAGTGGCTCGTGTAAACGTCAGCATTTGAACCAATGTATCGCTATTAGTGCGCTTCTCGGCGGTAGTCAACCACTGAACGCTACAGAAGCGCTGCTAAATCGGTGGTCGCGCCCGTGTGAATATCTACATATAAATCAATGTATCTTCAAAACGCGTTTATCAGCAGCGCCACTGAGAAGCGCTGCAGAGTGGCCCGTGTGAATCGGCTCTTAGTGCTTTAGCACCGTGGCTTTTGGGCCGTGCCCGGTACGACGTCGCGATTGCGGACCGCTCAAGAAAATCATACGTCTCCGAAGGCACCAATAAAAAGAAGTTGAAAATAAAAAGCATAAAAGTAGTTGATAATTCAACCGTTATGGATTTAAAGCGATTTAAATAGTGTTGGTTCATTCCGCATACCTAAAACACACTTTATCGATTTGTCCTTTGATAGCCTTTTTTTTCATTTAAAATACCCTGCTACAGCTATGCTATCAGCGAACACCTGAGCCTAATATTATCCGATTATAGAAAAGTAAATAAACCTACATCTATAGATTACCTAAGGATTTAGCTAAAATGTACTTACGAAGTAAATAATCACACTTCTGCCCGTTTATCACATATTTGTTTTGATCCTGACTGAAATCAAGAGTAAATATCACTATGTTTTAATGTTTTCGTGTGGTTTCGTTAAGTTAACAGATACAGACTTGTAGCAAAACAGCAGTCAAACTTCAAAGTTTTATACATTGGACTATTTAGGCTGCTCAACAGTTTCTATGGTGTGTCTAAAAAGTATTTACTGAACCCTTCTAAAGTTGCTATTAATATTAGGACTTTTTTACTATAATAGTATCGACTGTTGTTTTGTACAGAAAGCCCGGTTTCAAATGAACCCATACGTATATCGACATTATACAGTTTTCGAAAAAGTTCTTCACCTATATACAAGATGTCCCATTCTAATAAAATTAAAAAAAAAACAAAGTTTGCGATGAGAAACTATTGGGTGGTCTTATGGTCTGAAGGTAACTTAAAATATCTATACTTAAGGAAGGTCTTATAGTCCCAAAAATACGACACGCTACTGTAAGTAACAATGCCGCAAGTTATCTCAAGACATGCGGGATAAGCACCAAATTTCCTACACCACATGTTTATGATCGCCGATAGCTATTATTAGGCTCAGCCTGTAATCGTATGTGCGTTTGTACGATTACAAAAGCAGATACGAGTACACCTTTTGTGCGATTCATTTGAATTAATTTTATAACTATTAGAAAAGTTTTTTTTTAATTTGTGTAAATGAGTAAAAAACAATAAAATTTCATATATCTCGACGAATAAACTAAATGTGATTTGCATTCTGCAAAACAATATGGAAACAGAGCTGCAGAACGAAATTTCAGTCCATCGAGAAGACAAGAGGAACAATTAAAACTGCTAAGTAAAGACAAGAAAATATTTCGGTCGCTCCTAGCAAAAATGGCTAGAACCAGAAGTACAGTAAAAAATTAGATAACAAATAATCGAAGCATGCCAATTTTTATTGCTAATGCTGATAGACATAGATTTTACCCAATCACCGCCTTGGTGCTTCAGATATATAAAAAGACCATATATGTGTCCATAATTATGAGTGGTCTAAGTCAAAGTAAAAAAAATACTATCAGTTGTCCCACACTACAATGTTTTAAACTAAATTTATTCAATGTAATTTTGACGATATCGTCAAAAATGAACCATTAGATGGTGGTTGTAACTTTAACATTATCTGGAATTAATTTAGTGTTAATTATGAAAGTGGTCTAAGTCAAAAAATTAAAGAAATCAAACAAACATAACTTGAGAATGGCGTGTGGCCGTCTTTCACTCGTTTTTATGCAACCCTGAGTTTATTATCAATTAATAGAAAAGTGTAGATGAAGAAATACTCTTGGCTGTAAATACAATTGATGAGATTCTTGAAAAATTAACCTTATGAAATATTTTATAAAGGTTACTTAGATGATTCGAAATTTCACGTTTTCGATCTTTCATTTAAAAGTAGAAGACCAAAAGTTTACGGAAATGTTAAGCTACATCCATTATACACCACCACTAGACCATTAACGGAAGAAAAACATAAATATATTATGTGTTTACTACCAAACATTCCACCAGTTTTTCAGGAACTTTTTAATAATCTTAAAAACTCAAAATGATAAAAATAGATTACTTTTTTAAAATAATCAAAAAGTTTTCATGACTTATTTCATTAAAGTTATTGTTTCAAATGAAGCTCATAGTTCTTGCCTTATTGCTGTAAGTCATTTATAGGATATTCCAACATTTTCGTAAAAAAGTCAGACAAAATTTCATATTGATAATAAATTTCGATCAATCAAAACTAATAAAATTCTAAATAAAAAGGTCACATAATGTAAAAATATTTTTACATTTATTTAAATGCAATTCATTAAGTATCTCGAAACAAGAAATACATGACTTGCAAACTGACAAAATCAAATTGCAAATATGGATGAGGCGCGTCTTATTTTAATGTTCCTTTAAATCAGACTGAATACCGCAAAGATTTAAGCAAGAGGTTCAGGTGCATTGTTTAAATAGGCTTTCTGCGATGTTAGTATAAAATCGATTCGGACCGCATACAACGATTCAATCCAGAATCAGAATCTAAAAGAAACGAATACAGAAATAGTAGCAATTTCTAGAAGTCTCATAAGTCAATTACAGCTTTTACAGGTCTCTATCAAAAACTATTGAACATTTTTATGCGAAGAAGAGTGGTATAAATGGGTGGCAACGCCAAATAGCTTCAGAAGTTTGTACCTGGGTGAAAAATTCATGGGAAGCTGTGAAAGACGACGGCTTTTAAAAGTCATTAAAAATATGGAACGAGTAATCCTATAGATTCTACGGAAAATGCCGCAGTTTTTTAAAATTCAGTTTAGTCGGTTCAAGCTAAACTAAAAGCTAACTAAAATTAAGAATAAAGTGGATATTGCTAGCAAGCGTAACAATGAATTACAGTTATGATCCGAAAGTAACGTAAAAATACAATTTTCTTAAAATTATACTATAACTCTCAGGTGTCTAATAGTCCGAGACTAAAGTACTTTTTTATTAAAATATCAGAAAACACTTCTAACGGCTTAACGTATTGAAGTAGTCAAAGTAACAAAATCTCAAATTTGGATTGTCTATTGAAATATATCTAGGACTGACCTATAAGCAAATTTTGTATGGGACACCCTGCATACATAGCTTTAAAATATGCAAATTGAGTAGCAATTCACATCTGATCACAGTCAATTTTCAATTAAATTGAATATTATAAAATTAAGTCGCGAATAACACGAAAACAAATGTTGCAAAAGCTATAGCAACAGTTTTAAAAAAAAGTTTTACATACTATTATAAGATCTTATTGAGGGAGGCAATATAATATTTGTAGATAATATGAGAAATAAAATAAACGATATAAAAAATGTTACCTATCTATGCGTAATCAGCACACAGAGTAAGTCTGTTATTCATTTTTAACTGTTCATCTAAACAACTTCAATTTGTTATATATTTTAAGATCTCAGCATTTGAAAAAATATTTTGTTAAATAATATTTGGTAAATTTAAATAAAAATAGTTAAATATTAGTTGTCTTATTTCAAAACTCAACTATCAAATATTTGCCTGCAAACTCGGTAATTTTCGAAATAAGTATGGGTGCAAATAACACTGGATACAGTAGATTTCTTCGAGCGACCTTTACCAGAAAATATCGAAGTAGCGAAACAGAAAATAAGTCTTAACCGTGTTCATTTCTCCTTTAGTTTGATTAAATACACATTTATACCTAAACGTAAAATCTAACTACCTATATATAATTATATTTATTATTTATTGCTGGTATTAAGATTTTCAAATAAAATATTTTAAATGTAATTGACTAACTATATAGCTGCAATACCAGAGAATATTTCAGACTTTATTGGCTTGTACTTAAAAATATACCTACAAAAAAAAATAAGCAGATTTACAGCAAAGTGGGTTTCAAAGATCGTAATATGTTATATAGTTGCTTTTTAAATATCATACATGTACTTAAATTTTCATTGAAAAAAACCTCAATACCAGCTGATACCTTATGTACAAAATCATACTGAACTAAATCAAATCAGGCCAAGAGAATTGAAAAATCTATCGTCAGGCTAACAAGCTTTTGTGTTTTACGAAACTAATCGCACAGCCAAATTATAATGCTTTCAGGTTCTTGTGTGTTTCCAAAGACCCAAATAAAGACACATTAGCATAAGAACCATTGAAAAGCGAGCAAATTGGTTCCGTCATCATTTAACAAACGTTTTCAAACAATAATTATTAGATTAAATGACTTTTCTATTAAACGAACAGGCTTTTACAATTCTGCCAAGATTATTTTCAAACTACCGAAAGTACATAGAACGTGTTTCTAGTTTGAGTTAGTTTGTTTTTAACAATTATTGTCAATATATGTGATATGTTTCAAAAGGATAGGTATTGTTTTGTTGTGCAAAAGCCTGTTTCATCTCGGGGTACCACGCTAATATCCCTACCCAGGACTGCTCGCGTGCATGCGTCCTACACAGACCCACTGGAATCTCCTGGAAAGTGCATTAACTGGGTGTCGCAAAGAGACGGGGTTGGTGACGCCCTGCTTACAGAACTAAAGCTACTCCCTATGCTCAGGTCTTCGATGTGATTGTAAATATATTCGGTTGATGTATTAAGCTGTTCCCCACCTAAAATAGTCAATGTTATTACATCAATTTGATTGGTGAGTCTTATGATAGGAAGAGATTCAAATCACAACTTTCAGGTCATTAAATAGTTAAAAAAATGTAGTAATTTTTATGTACAGGATTATGGATTGAACTTAGGAAACCCCGTTTTTATATCTATTTTGAAATTAGAGAAAATATAAAATGCAGAAGATGTAGATATTAACGTGTAGTTTATTATAAGATAAAATTAATTGTGAATGCCGTACCTTCTAATGC